TCATTTCTCCCTATGTGAGTTAAATACTGTAACAGAAACATAATCATGAGGGGTCAATCTGCTATTTCTGAAAGAAAAAAGAAAGAGATACCATTTATTCATACCTGTGTCTGAATATCATCGCCTGTGACAATGTTTCCCACAGCTCGCAAAGCAGGAGAAACCACTTTATAATCATTATGCCTGCAACCATAAAAAGATGTGTTATATCCAACAGTTCTATCTTTAATCTCTTTTCCTTAGGGCTGAAACCCAAAAGAAATTAACATGTGATCGGTTCTTGGAGCAGAAAGGTACCTATGGTGGTTATTAAAGGAACCCTATCATGATGAGGAAATGTTTTTGGTGTCCCCAAGAAAGGCTGTCTTTCCTTTTGTTTGGTACTTTTGGATAAAAACTACAAATCTGTTCTAATAACCCTTCCCAGGTATTCAATCACCTGGAGTCCAAGTTTTCCCTCTCATTCATTAATGCAGGTTTCATTTCCTCTTTACTTGGTCTCTATGGTTGCTGAGATAATGGAAAGAGATAGTAACATTTATACAGCACTTTTAGGTTTTACAAATCGTTTAATTTTCACAGGAATAAAGATATATCAACAGTTGAGCTAACTTGAAAATGAAAGCCAGGCCTCATACTTCAAATAGTAGACTCTTTCTACTAAACCTCAGCTGACTTACTGGTCTGAAAAACCCCTCCACAAATCTTTTATATATCTGAAGACAGATATTAAGTCTTGATTTTAGGCTAAGTAAGTTAATATCCTTTAACTTTCCTTAAATATCTTTTTTTTTTTTTTTTTTTTTTTTTTTGCGGTACACAGGCCTCTCTCTCACTGTTGTGGCCTCTCCCGTTGCGGAGCATAGGCTCTGGACGCGCAGGCTCAGCGGCCATGGCCCACGGGACCAGCCGCTCTGCGGCATGTGGGATCCTCCCGGACCAGGGCACGAACCTGCGTCCCCTGCATCGGCAGGCAGACTCCCAACCACTGCGCCACCAGAGAAGCCCTAAATATCTTATTTTCTCTCCCCTTATAATGAGATTGATCACTCTTCTCAAAACTGTGCCAGTTTCTCCACATTTAAGATCCGATGACTAAAAAGAAATGGTTAAAATATTTAGTAATCTAGAGACTAAAGAGTACAAAAGGTTACTCTCCCAGATTCTGAATGATGTACTTCTGAGTCCTCCAGCATTATATTGCTTTTAATTCACAACAGCATTATGCCGCTGATCTGTACCCAGTCTATAACCCCAGAGTTTTTTTTTTTAATGTACAGTTTTACATCTTTATTGGAGTATAATTGCTTTACAATGGTGTGTTAGTTTCTGCTTTATAACAAAGTGAATCAGTTATACATATACATGTGTTCCCATATCTCTTCCCTCTTGCGTCTCCCTCCCTCCCACTCTCCCTATCCCACCCCTCTAGGTGGTCACAAAGCACCGAGATGATCTCCCTGTGCTATGCGGCTGCTTCCCACTAGCTATCTATTTTACGTTTGGTAGTGTATATATGTCCACACCACTCTCTCGCTTTGTCACAGCTTACCCTTCCCCCTCCCCATATCCTCAAGTCCATTCTCTAGTAAGTCTTACAACCCCAGAGTTTTATATTCTATATATTATACTATCTAATTCATTCCACATGTCATCTTTGGGGCAATGTTTCCTTGCATCTACTTTGTACTTACTCCAATAAATTTCACATGGCTTTTAATTATACTATTTCCCCATTATGTTATCACTCTTAATTTTTTTATTTGATACTATTTTCTAAAAATTTGATTAATACAGTCTCAAATTATTTATGCCATCAGTAAATCTTCCACTTCATAAATGAAAGGCATCACAAAGAGATATGGCAAAATAAAATTCAAAGTCTGACACCAGTCTAGCTTAAGCTCTAAATGAGACAAAAAGATGAAGAAATGACCGTTTTTAGTGGCAGTGTGCCTTCTGCTATCCAGTGGTTGGTCTCAGGTCATTAATCATGAGCTAGAATTACACAGATCAAAGTTTTCCAAATGTTTCTGCTAAAGGGCTGCTTACAGCAGAAGAGTGAGGGGTTCTTTATAACCCTCAAAACAATCAAACAAACAGATTTGACATGAGTATAAAAAAGTAACAAAAGACAGTAGCCTAAAGCACAATAAATCAGTATAATGCATTAATATTTGAGTATCAGCAACTAGAAAACTAATATGAGAGACAAAAGAACAGACACACTTTAAGATATCTTACATCAGCAGCTCCACAAGTCTCCTACATACTCCTGCATCAATGACTGCTTGAATTTTATCATTGGGTCCATCTGATAGATATGAGAGGGCCCAGCAGGCATCAGCCAGTACATCAGTGTCACTGACAAACAGCAACCAGGAAAGCACATTCAGACAGGGGGAAACCTATAAAGGGAAGATGATATGATTATGAAATTCAACAGAATAAAAGCAAGAAATGAGGGGGGAAACTCCAGAAAGCAACCAGGCACACACCTGGTGACTTCTGGTGTGATTAATACTTCTGAAGATGGAGCAGTAAGTGGCCAAGTGACATTTCCATCTTTGGGAATGCTGTCAATAACCCTACAGTTTACTTTGATGAGGTAGTCAGAGCCCAAGGAAAACAGTTTCAAAGAGCAAAGTTTAATATATACCAATTCTCAGAGTGAGATTCCTTGTCAAAACACTCTTTGTGGATCAGAGACGTAAAGGAATTTTCCTAAGTGTTAAAGCTAGGAAATTCTGCATTTTAGATACTTTGTTACAAGCAAAAAATGCCATGTTTTAAGAGTAATTCAGAGCTTTTTAAAGGCAGTGAAAATTTATTTCAAATTCAAACAAAAATAAACAAAAAGACCTATTTTTCTAGAAACAAATTATTCTCTTTCTATTCACATTAATATTGGTTCTTAGACTCTTCCCATTGCGGAGCACAGGCTCCGGACGTGCAGGCTCAGCAGCCATGGCTCACGGGCCCAGCAGCTCCGCGGCATGTGGGATCTTCCCGGACCGGGGCACGAACCCGTGTCCCCTGCATCCGCAGGCGGACTCTCAATCACTGCGCCACCAGGGAAGCCCTCTTAGACTCTTTTAACTGTACTTTTTCTGCCAATTTCCCACAAGCATAATCCTTACCTTTGCAAATTCTGGAGGGGGACTTTTTCCTCTACAGAGATTAGACAAAGCCCATACTGCATTCCGGGTCATGGTCAGGCGGTTTTGCTTTGAAAATAACCTATAAGCATAATGATGCAATGGTAAATGATATAATGGGCATTAATTCTCTGATGGCATAATATAAATATTTAACCACTTAATGCTATTGATAAACAGATGTCTTCAAACAGCTCTTCTCTACAACAATAAAGCTTAATTAATTCTAACACAAGGAATTCAAAATTTTGGCACTTGAATAAGATAGGATGCCCAAGGAAATGATCTGAACAAGTTAGTAAGAAAATATCTGTAATGAAAAGTAACACTAGGAAATCCAAAATGATTTCCAAAGATGCACTGTTTTCTGAGGAACTTCCCGTATTTTTATTACTCACAAAAAAAAAAAAAAAGAAAAAGAAACTTACTGCAGCAGAGGGGGAAGAATATTGCAGTCTAAAACATAGTCCCTGCACATGGTACTATCTCCAGCAATGTTGCCAAGAGCCCAGACTGCCTGTGAAAGAATTATTCATTAATGACAGGCTGTAGAGTTTAATTTTCTCATAATTCCTTCAAAAAAGATGCCAACATATCACAATAACTCTTTACAAAATTATACAGTAGTTAATCAACATATTATACATGGACATTAACTATTAAAACCCCTAAGTTCACTCAACAGGGAGTCAAATGAAATAGTTGTGGGATTGGTGGAAGAAGATCAATACTATTATATAAGTATACATGTGAATACTCATGGGAGTAAACTTATTAAAAGGAGGTACCAGTTCTTATACATATTCTTTTTTTTTTTTTTTTTTTTTTTTTGTTCACGGGGCCCTCCCTTTTTTTGCCTCTCCCGTTTCAGAGCACAGGCTCCGGACGCACAGGCTCAGTAGCCATGGCTCACGGGCCCAGCCGCTCCGCGGCATGTGGGATCCTCCCAGACCAGGGCACAAACCCGCGTCCCCTGCATTGGCAGGCGGACTCTCAACCACTGTGCCACCAGGGAAGCCCCTTATACATATTCTTAATCTTAGGGGGCCCTACCCTTAAGTAACATTCCATACAGCCATTGGATCCAAATGGCTTACTCAGCTGATTACAAATGTATTTTAAGCTTACTTACAAAAGAAAACAGTGAGCCAAGAATTTAAGAGCAACCAAAATGCAGAAAACTTTACTCAATTTTTGGGGATGATGGATATATTAATTATCTTGACTGTAATGACAGTTTCATGGATATATACATATGTCAAAACTTATCATATTATACACTTTAACCATATGCAGTTTACTGTAGGTTGATTATACCTCAATAAAGCTGTAGAAGAAAGTCATATTCATTTAGTAATGATTTATATTTATGAATTTGACAAGCTTTGCGGTAATTAAAATTTCATGTTTTCTAAGTGATTTTCTGCACAAAAGTGGCAAAGACTTGCTATGTCAATCAACACGAGAGATTACTATAAGAAAAAACTCAGTAACTGCTTACATGGTCTAAAATGTGTATCTATGGGACTTAAAGAATTTCAGGGTTGGAAGGGAAAAATGGTTTTATGTTTCTAGGAGAAATTCTGCCTATATTCACTATGAAATTTTCTATTTTGGTTAAGTTTAGATTTCTAGAACACTCCCTGTGATGAACTATGGATTGTCATATCTAAGCGGTAAAACTGAGATTCTGAATATAAGACTGAAGGGAAAAATTGTATTCTTTGACCTGCTTCTCTTTACTTGTTTCAATTTTTACCTGCTCCTGGACATCTTCAAACTCTGAGCTGAGCAACTCTATGAAGATAGGCACAGCTCCTGCCTGAATCACAATCCGGGTCTGAAGAGAATTTCCTGAAGCAATATTTGTCAGTACCCAAGCTGACTCAAACTATAAAGATAAAAATAATTTCATTATCTTATTAGAATTTAATAGCTTGTTTACTTATAACAATAAGGTTTTCTGTGCATGAAGAAAAGAATCTGAGATCATTATTTACACATAATCTATCAGGTAAATACTATATTAATTTTAAATGAAGAATTCCTGAAGAAATAACCTTAGCCTAGAGGAATACTCAGGGTGTCTAAAATTTCAGATCAAGGCAGAGCTGACATGAGACCGTAAGAAGAATGAGGGAGTGCTTCATATACTGACATGGAATGATCTCCCAAGACATAAATGGAGGAAAAAGAAAAACAATGTACGTTAATATGGTACCATACTGTATTTTCCAAAAGGGTTAAGAAGGAATATATGCATCAATTTACTTATTGCACAGAATATCTCTTGAAGGAGTCACAATAAACTGTAAATACTTGTCACTTACATAGAGAGCTCGAGGTGAATGGGAAACAAGTATGGGAAGGATAGGCACTTACAGTAAAGCCTTTATGTACCTTTTGGCCTTAAACCATGTTTATTATCTAATAAAAATAAAATTAAATAATTTCTATAAAATGGGCAGAGTGAAATGGCGAAAGAATAAAACTGTAAAATGTGTAAAATACAGGCAGAGTGAAAAAGGCAGAAGACAACTGAAATGATAAGTAGTCCGAAAGGAGTTAACGGGCATACAACTAACAGAAATGGCAACTTCAGAGCATAAGAGCTTCCAATAAATAAGAAGTCTCCAAACCAAGGCACAGAGGTAAGACTTTTTTAAAAAGAGCATTCTTAAAGGTTGATAAACTGGTAAACAGTATGAAGGAAATTATGGCCAACAAAAAATACAGCACGTTATTAATTCTACACATCTCTATAGTAACTTGACTCTTTAGCCTAATATGATGAAATCCAAGAATGACCCCTTAAAATCCAAGAATGAACTTATATTACAATTCTATTTAGAGTTCTTAATTAAACTTTAGTTTTGTTTCCTTCTCCTGTTCTGTCTTCTATTTAATATTCTTTAATGAAGCACATATGGGGAAGAAAAAAAATTCAGTGACATGCCCCTTGAATGAGAAATCAATAAAAAGTCATCAAAAGATGGAGCTGTGACTCCTTTAAGCTTTGGGGTCAATTGAAAGGCAGGTGTCATATGGAAAACTAAATCATCAATCACTTGGGGTACAGGAAAATGAAAGAAATGGGAAGACAATCTGATTAGCCCAGTCCAAAGCTACATGAATGATAGTAAATTTATAGCAGAAGACACTTAAAGAAGGGATATTCAAAGAAACCTAAAATTTGATACACAGAAGTGAAATAAAGTGGTCTGATATCTAGTTAGGACACTGATATTACAGCAGCAGGGAGGCCAGACTAGGAGCACCACAGTAAAACATTTTTTTGCCTGATAACTCTTTGCTATAAGAGAAGTTCAGGAGACTTTTAAACACTGAGTATCATAAAATAAAAACTCATATCACCTCTGTAATTAAATTACTACTCAAACCAATGTACAAACCCTTTTCAGTCTGTCTGAATTGAAACTTGACATTTATACAGTACTTTACACTTTCAAAGCATCATTCACATACTCTCAGGTGTTCCTTACAACAACCCAGAGAAGCCTGGCTTTTCTAGTTTATGAATGAGGAAACTATCAGAAAAAGATCCAATGATCACTAATCATTTGAGTAATCCCAGTCAGAGAGCTAGATTACAGCCTCCTAATCTAGTAGGCTTATGGCCCCAACCATAGTTTCCTCTCTGAAACACACCTGTAACACTGACAAGAGTCTTCCAATTGCTTGCAGTTTTGGTATCTAGGGCAAGAAATTCAAATAATGATACGACAGATTATTTAGGGTTATTATTTATTATTTAGGGTATGCTAAAAGGAAAACACAGTTCACCTAAAATGTAGCTTCTTTTGCTTACTAGGAAAATGAACTATGAAGTGGGTACAAAAGCCAACTTTCCTACAAGAAGAAAGGCTCAAAGTTCAACAGAGAGTCATCAGCATCTGAGACCATGTCAAAAAAATGAAAACTTTGAGGAAAAGCAACCTGTGAAGAATGAATAAGATCAGCATACATAGCAATCTATATCAAAGAGAAAAAGGTTTGCAGTGAGATTTTGATGCAAAAGAAATGGTGACAATAAACTGAGTAGATAAAGGATATATTAAAGAGTTATCAATGAGAAGAAATTAGAATGATAATTGCTAACAGAAGTCAAACTGCTGTTTGTCTGATGAGGTTTAGCCCCAAAGGTCTCCCAGAAAAAGAGAGATTTCCAGATGCCACTGAAATGAATAAAATGGAGAAGCAAAACAGAATAGAGTGACAATGATTAGGAGAATGGAGAATAAGTAAATAACAGCCAGAACATGAATGGAAGAAACTCGGAAGTTAGGACTTCTCAACAAAAGAAGAATGTACCAGAGTTATGTTTATCACTAAGAAGTACATAATGATTATAACCTCTGAATGCAAACAAGATTCAAGGTCTCTCTTGGTAAGAATGGAAATCAGAAAGTAGTTTTGCCATTACCGGGGAAAGAAGTAGATGAATAACTATAACCAGAGGGCCAGTGAAAACTCAAATCATATTCATGGATTAATGAGGCATTGAAACACACACACACACACACACACACACAAACACACACACACACGGCACTGATTACTGTGATGTTTACCTTGTAAAAACTTATCAAGCTCTATTTGTGCAATTTTCTATACCCATGTGTATATGTGTGACATGAGAAGGAGGCGGGAGGAGAGAGAGTGAGAGACAGAAACAGAGAAACAGAGAGAGAGGCAGAGAGAAAGAGAGACTGAGAATTCCTCATGAGTATAGACCCCTATTAAAGTGTTGGAAGAAGCAACTTTCAAATGTGTTTAATATGTAAGTATGTTTTAAAAAAACTGGCTGTACTTTGAACTATGTAGTTTCTCTTTCACTGGGTATCGCAGTCTTTATTTTTTTGAGTGGGGTGAACATTTCTGTCTCAGGTCCCAGACTAGATTTTAACATGAAAGAGAGTTGTGAAATGGGAATGTCCAGAGTTGATACCAAAAGCAATTGCATAAAGTTATAATAGAAATGGCCAGAAAAGGTAATTTAAGTAACCATGCAACTCAAGAAAAACTCAGCAACAAGATGAAATGAGAAAAACTTAAGAAATGGTATCACCTGAAGTAGTACCCCAAACTATTATAATCTTTACTCCTCTTTGTTGTTTTAAACTACTATATTCTTAGTGTTCCAAGAATGGCATCATGCAAGGAAACAACCTGTCATGCAGCTGTGATTGCTTACAAATTGTAATTCCACTATTATTTTTCACTGTCCAGAACTTTCTAAATAAGGCTACAACTGAAATCTGAAGGGCACGCTGAAGATTTTGGTATGTTCTCTTTTTCCTTTCTCAATCTCTACCTTCTGGTGCTCAGTTCCTTAAAATAAGGAAAATGAGAATCCAAAACTGAAGTACTTCTGACCTCCTATCAAGTTTCCCACTCCAGGTTGAAGTACGCCTGGTTCCCTTTCTCCATTTGGATCAGGACTCTGTTGCTGGCCACTTTGCCGGTTCCACTCTGGTTCCTAGCAAATGCCAGGCTCACCTGGAGAGCAAGTGAAAAGAGAGGCTCACATCAGAAAAATAAATCCAGATATCAAACTCTGCAGAGAACAGTGCCTGAGTCATCTGAGCAACCTTTTAAGATAGGTAGAGGGATCAACGAAGATGGGGAAAAAACACAGGAAGATGGAGGCTTAACTGCAGTTTACCACATTAAGCTTTTAGTGTGGACAAGAAAGGTAGAAATGGGAAAACTAAACCAATTTAATTCAAATTTACAACTTTAAGAGGAGTATCTGTTTAATGACTGGAACTAGGAAGCAATTTACTTATTTCTAGCTATTTTTATAAGCTTCCATAAGAAGGTTTGGGAATATACCATCTCAGCACTGCAAAGGACAGTACAAAGATGTTGGACCTGGACTCAAAAAAACAAACCAAGTGGGCCCAGGGAATACACCATAAGGCAGACCAATCTCATGTCAAGGCTCTCATGTATGGCTGAGGCCTACATGTCACTGTGTTTGAGAATGCTGTTAGTTAAACGGCAGAGTCGGCTTCCAAAGTCCTAGATTCCACCATATTCATCTCATTTGAGGGCAAGTGAGTATCTAGGTAGCACTGCCAAAAGCAGGCATTTTTATCTCCCTGGTTTGCAGTATCCCACTGATAAGGAAAGCCAGAAAGAAAGTGAAGAAACCCTTCACTAGGATTCACAGTTCTTTATGTATGGAATGAAGGGAATAAGTTTGTCCAGTGATTTATTATTGAGTTTAGCTATCATGACTACATATTATTACTCTCTTTCTAGAAGAGAAATGGCAAACACCCCATTCCAAAGACACACTATTCAAATTTCTAATAAGCAGGTAGGAATATCATGGATAACTCACATCCTAGCGATCTCCAAGAAGACAGAGGAAGGAATACCCTCCAAGCTTCCCAGAGCATGTCTAATTATTTAACAATGAAGTCTCCTGGCTCTAAGGTCTCCATCAATATATTTGCTCCTCCTGCTTCTGGGGTAGTCAAGGGTACCCATTAGTCACACTGGAGAAAGAACACCATATTGTGCTTAAATGCACACAGAAGAAAAGCTGGGGATGATGACCTTTATATAATAAACAGGTTCGTTATCTCTAGAGTCTTTGGATCGCTAAGGTGAAAATCATGAGGTGGTCACTTCCAGAGGAATCATTTCTCAATCTTTCAGCCTAATTATTAGTTAGGCTGCACAAGGGTGGAATCTGAGAATTCTGATAGAAGCAAATTAGAGATTTCTGAAGGCTTTCATCTTCAGATGTGTTAAGATACAAACTCTAGGATTACAAAATCAAAAATGATGTAGAATTTACAAGTGTTAGCCAGGAGAGGGCACTGCCTGAGAGAATATACTGTGCTCTTTAGGGAATACTGGAGAAGGTGGGGATGCGGAAAGACCAAATTCTCTGACATTTTTCATTTTAGGACTAGAAAGTTATACCATCTTCCTTTAACACATTAAGGAACTGGACCTCTGCAACCACCTACTAAAAACTGCTAAGTCCAGAAGTAAATTTAATACCTCTGAATTACTCTCATTGTCAGAGACAGGATAGAAACATACTTCCACATGAACAAAATGATAAATTTTCCCTACCTCCCTCTTCCTACAAAGCTTTTCAAATGATAAACTGCAGTAAGGCTCTTCATTTGGTCCCTCTGGTTCTCTTGACAGGTTGCTTAAGGGGCTCGCTCAGGCTCTGTTCTCTGCAGTATTGGTTGTCTGGATTTCCTTTTTTTCTGAGAAAAGTCCTCTTTCTTTGCTCTCTAGGTGAACCTGATTATTTTCCAGGTGTCTGGTGATCCTGGCCTTAGATGGGGACCAGAATTACAATCCAGGAAGCAGCCAACAAAACAGAATCTTAATTCAAATGAACTTGGGGATTAGTAAATGTCAAACTGGAGAAGAAAAACTGATGGGACACTGAAGTACTCTACCTTTTCTGGACTTCCTGTTTTTCCTCTGGAAGGAACTCATCACCGCAACAAAGAGAGTAAAAGAGAGAGAAGGATGGGATGGGAGGAAAGGAGAGAAAATATCAAGACAAAGCATCAAGTCTTATGAATTATCAATAATGCTCTGGACAGTAAGGAACCTGGGGAGAGGAGCTGTTACTTATACTTATAAAGGTGCCCCAGTCCTTATTATACCCTTAGAGTAAGGCAAAGGTAAACATGGGGGTGAAAGTTATCTCTATGATTAACTTGTTATTAGCAAATATTTACTTGGAAAAATATCCCCATTTTGTAATCTACGTAGGACCTAACCAATCTTTATAGTTGCAGAATCTTTCTAAAGGGCCTGAGCCACTCAGAATAGATCCTACAAGTGAGAATTTAGGAATCACAGGTATTTGTTAAAGCATAACTCAGAAATTGATTCAGTTGGTTACTCCAAGGAAGTCTAGCTACTGAATTACTTAATTACTAGTTTACTTAAGATCCAACTTTATTCAGGAACAATATAGTATTTTTAAATTTCTAGATAACTCCCAAGATGAGAGTCAGTTGATAGTTGGTTCTTTTTGCTGTAAAAATTATCTAATCCAGAAGCTGTAGAATTTTCTCTTGGAACCCCTATACAACAGTACTAATACAGTAAATTAACATAGGAGAAAGCACACACATTCCCAACAAGGCTACATCCTTGTCAGCTCTTTTGGGGTGGGGCCGGGGGTGGAGGGGAAGGATTAATTAGTACCAGGTTTGGGGATCAGTGAGTGTCTGATCTAGCCCATGTTACAGAGCCCTGAGAAACCCAACAAGTACAATCTAAAAATCCTTCAGGACCAAATTTTACATAGTCCACACTTAGGTCCTTATAATGGCTCCTCTACTGCAAACAATTCCCTACCAGGTAAGTATGATCCATAGTCATCATAAAATAAAAAGTAACAAGAATTTTGAAGAGTAAAACCAAGGGCCTGGATGTTAACAAAGCTATCAAAGCAGCTTGCAATGTGGTTGTCAGGAACATCAGTATCAAAAAATTAACCCTTCATATAGATTAAAATAAGTAACAAATCTGTATACAAAATGTAACTTTGTAAAGGGAATTAAGATATGAGGCAAGAAATGAAAATGGTCCGCACCTGCAATGTACAATTCTCTTTTCGTTTGAGGAACTCCACAAACCTGGCCACTACTCCTGGTGTGCTGATGACTTCATCAATAGGAGGATTAGGTTCTGTCTCCCCATAAAAATAAAAGGAAAGAAGAAAAATAATCCTTTGATTTCAAGGCAAGGACTTTATAAAACTCAAACTTACTTCATAATATCCCTCCCTCCATCTTCAGCATCTCTTTCATATTGTAAATCCAAAACAGAAAAAAAAAATGTAAAACTGAGTTCAGTCACTTTGAGACTAGGGTAGCTTAAAAGATTTCATAATAAGGGAAGCCTTAATATGGAAATATGATGGGCAGAATTCTTAAAATTACTGCCTCTACTATTTTAGAAAACTTAGAAAGTATGGGGAAAAACATCAAAAGACAGCCACTGTTATTATTTTGGTATACTTCCTTCTAACCCTTTTTCTGTGTATGGGTTTTAAGTCTTTTTTATTTAACATAAATTGTCTGAAAAAACTGGATTAGGAGATTCTGTGCTTGCAGGATCTAATTTTACTGTTGTAGTGATAAGTAGGAGTCAGCAGAAATTCACTAAGAATGACTTGCCAAATTAATCTCATTTTCACTTATGACAATAGAGTATCTTATAAATAAAGTCATTCAATAGAAACTTGTTGGGCAAATAGATTAGAAATGTCCTAAACGATTAGCATTGTAATTTCAGCAAGACATTTGACAAAGTTTTTGATGACATTCATGTAGCTACGCAAGAAAAATGGCAGCTGGATTACAGTACTACTAGGGACTCTTAGCTAAGTCAATGGCCTGTACTGGGAAGGGATGACTAATGGTTCAATGTTAATTTGCAGCAAGCTCTAATGACATGTTCTTTGCCTGGTTCAACATTTTTATCAACCATTCATATAAACACAACAAATAAATTTGATGATGACAATAAAAATGAAGTAGTTAACGTGCTAGATTACAGAAACAACATATAGAAAGAATAACAATAAGCCTAAAATAGCAATAAAACAACAGGGATAAAGCAAAATTCAGCTTTTAGATTTTTTTTAAAGCAATTTTTAAAAATCCACATGACTTCACAGACGAAACCTAAAAATAGTTCATAAAGAAAAGTACTAGGGAGTATAGATCGCTGAAAATGCAATGAAGCATTACTATGCCATGACTACCAAAATAAACCAAAATAAATGATGCTAGCCTGGAGTACATTATTGGAATGTATAGTTTCAGGACAGGGAAGGCAATCTCCCACCACACCTTAGAGTAATAAGAATGCATCTGGAGTACTGTATTCTAATTATCACATTTTAAGAGGAATGGCTGGCAAACTAGAATACATGCAGGAAAGTAGCAGAGTGTTGAAAGACCTTGGAAAACCACATTATCTGAGAAACCCATCTCAGCATGCTGAAAAGAGATAAGACATTTTTAGAAGGGTGGGGACGGTAATATGATAATGGCCTTCAGCTATTTTTAACAGGTTGTCATCCAAAAAGCAATTATTTTTTGCTCTGGT